GCAACGTGCCAACAATGCGCCTTAACACACCTCCTTTATAGACCGGCACAACCATGAGTCCACGAAGTGGCACAAATGGATGTGCTATTTAACAACGTGGTGCAAAATGTGAAAATTAGGGTTGCACCGGTCTGAAAATAGCAACAAATTGCTCCAAACACATCTTGCAACTTATTGCACCTAGTGCCTAGAATTTTTGCTTGCGTGTTGAAATGTCTGCTTGCAAGTTAAAAAGTTTTGAAAACATGTATGCTGTGGTTAATTTTGTCTTTCTTTTCAAACAAACAAATGTAGTTTTAGAACAAAACTAGATAGACTGTAAATGTAATTTTAAAAAAATATTTTTTTTAAATTAAAAAATAGAATTAAAAAAATACTTTTGCTATTTTATGCATTTACCACTACATTTTTTTATTGAATATTGAAGAAATTAAACTAACTCCATAAAAGTCATACACCTTTCCAACAATTTATAGCTTGTTATGATTAGACTAGGATTACAAAAAAGTGATGTAAACGCAGTACGGTGACAGTAACCCATACATTTTTTATTTAGAAGGCACCTAGGTTACCCCTTTTTCCAGATTTAAAGTATTTCTTGTCTCCAGGATGTGTCTTTAAAGTTTCAGCTCAAAACACTCATCAGATTATTTATTATACCTTTTATAAGTTTCTATTGTATACTTCTGAGAAGCAGGTAGCGGTTTTTGTGTACTGGGACTTTAAGGCTAGTCCTTCACGCCCATCGTTTCCACGTGCATGTCAGTGTGCCTTAATCTGCTCCCTCAGCTGACTCAGAATGACATAAAGGAAGAAGATCCTACGTAACGTTTGTAAGAAATACTACAGTAAGAAATTTACAAATGAGTATTTGATGCATTTGTTGTGGAGTTGCAACGATGAGTCTGACACGTTGACGTTACAGTTCACTTACACACACAGACAGCACGTGCGTTTAGCTTTGCACTCTTTTTGCATGCATATGTGACAGAATACAGGTTCATATCCACTGCTGTATGGATATCTGCTGTTAATGTACAAAATAAACCTGATTCAACGTCCACAAACTGGGATTGAAGCGTTTTTGTTTTTTTTATTGTGTTGACACACAGCTGTGCTGTAGAAGTAAATCGCTGTAACTCTTTACACACATGCACGGTTTTAGGTTTCAAAACTTTTTAAACTTGTAAAGCTCACTCTTGATCACATTTGTGGATGATTGCTGATCCTAGCAAACTGAACGGACCTTTTATTCCCGGTTGCTTTGCACACGTCCTGTTTTGTTGACATGATTATAGGCGTTACTACGGAGACATGTTAATGCGCGCAGCTGTCAATCAATTTGGTGGGTGGGGGGACCGCACTCCTACGTCAAGTTGCGGTCGATCTGGAAACCGCTCCAATTGGTCCACCATTTTTATGTAGTTAAATTGAAAAACAAAAAGGAGTGAGTGTGTTTATACAGTATCACTCTAATATGACGGTTTATACACTAAATCTTCACACATGTCTGTCCAAACAGCTTGAAAAGTAGATTTTTCACTATAGGTGCCCTTTAATAAACAAGTGATATTATTTGTTATCTAAATAATCCTTTTTGAATTATAATTCTATAAAATTAACCATACTGAAAATATAATGTTTTAAAATAAAATGTAAAATCTTAAACTATTACAAGAGTGCATTTGAAAACAAACAGCACAAAACTATAAAATGCTTAGTGAGAAGTGGTAAAGAATGAAAAGAGATGGAGAAAAATGGAGAAAAGAGGTTGAAAAATACATCCTCCCAAAGAGGATTTCTGGAGCTGGTCTGATAAAACAGATATACATAATATGAGAGTATGTTATATGAGTCAACAATCAAGGGCAAACCACAAAGTCACAGAGAGTATGTAAGCAAAGAGAGAGTGGGAAGAGCAAAAATAAGTTGAAAACAACAAGACGGAGGAGTGGAGAGCATCTTTTTTTTTTCTGACTGAAGATCCTGCAACAGCCGGCACTCTATAAAAGGAAAATGACTTCATTCTAACACACAAGCACACGCACACGCACACACACATACACACACTTCCTTTTCATCTCTTGCAGGTCTCGTCTCCTCATCTCTTTCCATTAATGTAATAAAACGATCATCTAATATCAGGGTTGCCCATGAGATCTTCAGTTCCTGTGCCATGCATGGTGAGAGGAGGTAAGTAGGAGTCACTGTTCTGCAGTCCGAAAGGACTAATGACGTCACCCACTGGCATTATTCAGCACAGGCCTTCTGGAGCAGTGTGAGGAGCGCCAAAGAAACACCCGGAGTCCACAGCCACGGCTATGAGGATCAGCGGGCGCACTATGGCCAGGCTCCAGTGCAACGTAAAAAAAAAACCCCACATCCTCATGGGTCAGAGTTTTTACAAAGCATTCAAACCAGTTTCATTAATTCGACTGTAATCTCTAATTAGATAAATCTGATTTAAACTGATTTTAAAAATTACACCATGTCCTAACAATACGCAACATGACAGGATTCCTGAGACAAGCAATATGGCTGTCTTTACCATACAGTGGTTCCCAACAGGGGGGTCCCGACACAAAAGGGGGCCTCAGCGAGCCCTGTGGGGGAATCGCGCCATATTTAAAAAATTTCTTAGCAGTGGACAGTTAGGAGAATGTTCATTTTGCCTTAATTCTTTTTATCCCCTAACTCAGTGGTCCTCAACCACCGGGATCAGCTGGCACCAGGCTGCTCAAGAAATCATTAATTATTTTTATTTCATTTATTATTAACAATCTTTTATTTTGAAAAGTCTTTTATTTTGAAAAAAGACTATATCTTCTCGTCTACACCTTGAGCGCCAAAATTTAACCCACAATCTAGCAAAACAAGTAAGAAACAGACATCTTTGAAAAGTTTCTTTGCTAAAGGGGAAAGGTCCAGTGAAGGTGAACTGCCAAGGAATGGATTCGCAACCCATTTGTCAACATCAGGTGAAGATCGCAAATGACGGCGGCCTTTTAGGGGCCGTTCGCATATAACGTATTTTTAGAGTTTGCACAAGTTTGTTGTTTCCAATGAATCCCACGAGCGCACTGCGAGTCACGTGACAAGACTTGACCGATCAGCTTCAGCGTGTATGGAATATTCACATTGCGTTAAGACTAATTTTCTCAGACAAACACAGAACACCCAAAATCTGAAGAGCTTTGTAATTTTTTTCCATTAATAAAACTTGTATTAGAGTAACAGCAATGTTTTGTCAGCTTATAATCCTCTGAGAAAACAGTTGATGATTGCCTAGCAATCTACATCCTACGAAACACCTCCTCCCCCCATCCACGGTAAAATTGTCAAGCGTTGACCATAAAAGCGTTGATGATAAAAAGGTTGAGGACCACTGCAAACATGGACAAATTTATAATTATACCACCACAAAAAAAAAGTCTCACAGATACGCCTCGCAGCAATCCTCACACTAATTGATAGAGCACAACATAAAACATGCAAGTATTAAACTGTATTAGCCTATATTATATTTTTCCTTTATACACCAGTGTGATTACTGATATTTTTGTTATTGAATTTCAAATAGGTCCAGATTAAAGGCCAAAGGCTTACGTTTTTCAGTTACAAATGGCCTACTGATGTTTTGCTTTTATACTTTACATTAGGCTGTTATTTGTGCATATATTGATATAGTAATAAATGTACCATTTGTTTGAAAACAACATTTTTGTCATCATGACTGCAAACTTATACGAGTGATAATATCTGGAAGGGGGGGCTTGCAATATTTCTAGGTGAAAAGGGGTCTCAGGCAAAAAAGGTTGGGAACCACTGCCATACATAACACAAAATGATAAAAACAATTAAATATCAGACACTGCACTCCCATGGAAATGGTAAAGATTTTAAAGATCTATTTAATACATATTAAACTCTAACATTGGACCTTTTATCGCATGTTGAAGTGCTGTATTGCATGTTGTTAGGACACTGCGGTAATGTTCAATGCCATAGCATCAGACAAAGAAATTTCACTACAAAGTAGTTAATGTTGTACAAGTATTGAGAATAATTTGTTATTGCATTTTGGTTTGAGTCTGCGTAGCTTTAGTTATAGCAGTGTAGCTACAGTAGCTTGTATTACTTAAGCCTACTTATACTTCTGCGTCGAGTGATCGGCGTGACCCACAGCGCATGTCTTGCGCATTGCCGTGCATTCATACTTTTGCATGCAGTTTGTGTTCCTCTGCAATAACACTTCCGAAACGCTAGCTGGCAGTGAGGTGTTTATGTTCCTCTGTGTCAAGTTTCTTCGCTGGTGTTTTGTTTTGTATTTTTTGAACTACCTTAATGTACAGGTGACTCGCTCATTTAGAGGCAGGAATCTCCGGACGTGCAACAACTTTAACCATTAGGTAAACACAAAACAAAACTTTTCATCTGGAGCTCCTTCACAGGTCTCAACACTTGTAAACATTCCTTCCAACGGGTTCGCGCAGCTCTCGGTCTCGCCCACACTCGGCAGCGATACCAAGCAGACCAATCACAGAGCTTGCGCTCAAAAAAGTTAAATTTTTTGAGAGATGCGCGTTAGCGACGGCTATGGCCATGGCGAGGGCTATGCGTCCATGATTAGGCTGCGCCATAGCATACTCGTGGTATAAGTCAGCCTTTATTCCCAACAAGTATAGCAATACCAGTCATTTATGACCTTATGGGGACATTTTTTTTGGTCTTAATGAAGAAAAAAAAATCACACAAAGTAAAGCAAAAATGTTGATTGTTTCCTGTGAGGGATGGTTTTAGGGGTTGCTGGATAGAAACTACAGTTTTACAGAAGAGAAATCAATACATCTATGTAGTAAGTATCGTGTGTGTGTATACCTCTATAGATATTCTTCAAAAGAGTGCATACTTTATAATAAATATAAATAAGTTTGTATAACACCAGTATAATAATAACAGTAATGGCACTTTATGAGAAAGCAGTTATTAGGGACACTTACCCGAATCTTGATAGTCCTCGTTTTCCCTCCACAGTTCTTTCTTAAAAGCATTTTCTGAAGCAAAAAGGAGAAAACACAGCAGGGTTAAAAAGCACCTTCAATAAGCCTTTGAAATAAAGGTTCCATTAGTTAATGTTGGTTAATGTATTTACAAACAGGAACTGCAAATGGGCAATCATTAGCTAACATCAACTAATAGAACCTTACTGTAAACTAAAGTGTGACCAATAAACCTTAAATGATGTCTACGCCGAGTCAAATTCCACACAATAGCAAACCAGTTTTCATATTTTCAGCATAAACATTTACAGTTATTTTGCCCTTGATTTGTCATGGAAGACACCTGGAAACTCTGGGCCACTGTAGCTAGAAAAACCATCGAGTCTTTTGTGCAGCGGAGTAAAACATCCGGTGGGCACTCACTCAGAACAACCACAGAACTATGTTTGTTATCTCTATCAAGACATCTGCTGTTATTGCTAAAGCAAGCCTTGTGAATCAAGATCGGAGGTTAACTCTGCTTCCTTAAAGTTCATTTTACAAAGTGAAAGGGCAGAGTCTAAACTGTTCATTGTACTGTAATAGAAAAGTGCTACCTAATGATTACATTTGAACCAGTCATAGGGGTCAGTTTTTGGAAATTGAGATGTGTACACCCGTGTTCATGTGGGTTTCCTCCGGGTGCTCTGGTTTTTCCCACAGTCCAAAGACATGCGGTACAGGTAAATTGGGTAGGCTAAATTCTCCGTAGTGTATGAGTGTGAATGAGTGTGTATGGATGTTTCCCAGAGATGCGTTGCAGCTGAAAGGACATCCACTCCTTAGAACATGTGCTCCACTCCTTAGAACATTGGTTGGCGGTTCATTCCGCTGTGGTGACCCCACTAAAAAGGGTTTCTAAGCCGAATAAATTAATAAAGGGACTAAGCCGAAAAAAAAATTAATTGAGATATGTACATTACATGCTGAAAAATAAAGTTTTCAACTGATGTTTGGTTAGTCAAGATAGAACAATATTTGGCCGAGATTCAACTATTTTAATGAGCCCGTTCTGTGTTGGTTCCTGTCATTTTTCTGATGATTAATACAATAAGCTATGCTGCAGGATTCATTGAAGGAGCAGCAGAGATTTTGGGACTTAGTCAGTAATTTTTACAGTTTAAATGGACCAGTTTCTTCTTCCTTTGGATCATAACATGTAACTGTCATTGAAGAGTCTGATTTTTTTTAAAAAAAAAAAGCTTCCTTGCAGTGTGTAACACAGCTCTAAGGGAATGAAAACATTCAGCTGAGGTTTAAATCTAAAATTGCAGCATGCTTAAAACTATTGATTCTTTAGCGAAACATTTGACTCAGAGTCGAATAAACGAATCGAGATGGGTTCGGATCTTTTGTTGGATCGCATCGACCTCGATACGGTACATCTCCAAATATGGTGGGTGCGGGTATTATGGGACTGATCATGACGCAAAGATGACGGTAACTGACAGAGATTCTGAACTGAACTGGTAATCTAGGCAAAAGATGATCATACCGCCCTCAAACTGAAAGTGAAAATGAGAGAAGCGATTGTGATTGCGCATACAATAGTGAGAACCAAGGTGGTGGTGGGGTTATCGCGGACAAAAGTGAGGAGATGTCTCTGACACCCTCTCTCTATCCTGTTGCCCTAGGCGGCCGCCTGGGTCACCTCTAAGGATGTGCCGGCCCTGGCTGCTGGGAATAAAGGGTTAAAGTTAATTTTAACAACAACACCACAGTATAGCCAACCTTGTGCTGTGTTTTGTAATTTTTCAGATTTTTGATAAAATAACCTACACTATAGTGTTATGATTATCAGCAATCTAGCGACTGCAGATCGCTAATGGACTACAAATCCGCCATTTATGGACTACAATATTCAGTCATGCACCACACACACACACACACACACACACAAACACAACCGGTTCCTGATCATGATACTTAGGGTCACAGCTGATACTCGCGATCTTTGATTATTAGGACTATTTAAACCCCTTTGTTCCACACACACAAATATAAATGGCAAAAACAGCCACAAACATAACAAAAGTGAAGTCAATTTGCTTAGATTGTGTTGAACTTGACAAATTTCAAAGCATTTCCCAAAATATCCAACCAAATAAGATTGGTCATCAAAAATGATTTCATTTGCTGAAAAACAGAGCAAGTTGTGGTCAAATTATCTCTCAAAACTCCTTCCAGAGCGGATGAAAAACAAAAAATAGGGTTCTTTCTATATTAGTAAAAAATACTGGCAACGACAGGAGTTATTTCAAGCAATCTCTTTGGTCTAAAAGGGAAATTCACAGTAAAACAAAAACAACAACTCCGGAATTGTCTAATTTGTCCAGATCTGTGTGATTGGAAGGCAGTCATAGTTAAAGCCCGAGTGGAGTTTGAAATCAGCTCAGCCTCATTTCAGGGTTTCCAAAAAAGGAGATGTTTGTCAAGCTCAGTCAACCATGGAGGGCAGCATTTAGACATCTGTCAGACAAACAATAGCTGGACCCCTACGTTTGAGATCATGTATAAGCGAGGGAATGGATTAGTTGGTAAGGATTCATATTGATAAAAACTAATCCAAATATGGCTCAATATATTAACACAAGCCGCCATAAATAAGTAAACGTGCGTTACATACAGTTGCAGAAAAAAGCTGAACACCAATTTAATTGTTTTTCAACAAATTTATGTGTTTTTTTTAAGGTTTATACATGTTTTTATGCTTTAAAACAGGTTTACATGTAAAAGATTAAAGACAAATTAGGTTTATCAGCGAAGTTTTGGCAACTTTTCCATATTTGTTTTCCATCTACTCCTAAGACTTGACCAAACACACATACTGAGTGCTTTACATTGTCCTCAAAGCCATCTTCTTTATTCTCTTCTCTCACCTTTATCCATCTCCACATAACGTTGTTTCCATTTGGCACAATCTGGCCTCTGTATTTGAACACATGAAAACCAAACTACTAGGCTTTACTTGTCCCACTTTTGTCCCATTTCATTCACTCACAGATTCACTCTATCAGGCTTTTGTTCAAACTGAAGAGAGGGGGGGGCTGACATCTGTCATCCTCTCTTTTTCTCTGGAGGTGGCGGGCACAGAGCCCTGAAGCACATGGAGCTGTTGGAATAAGCGTGGTTGTGCAAAATGTCTAGAACTGTTGTTAAATTCAGAGTTACAATTAATTTAATTTTAGACTAATAAAGTAATTTAAGATGCAGTTTACAATACATTTTTAGCTGTAGTGCTTCTGCTGGTTTCATTAAGTCAAATTTAAGACTAAGACATTTTTAAGACATTAATGAAGACAATTTCAGACTTACACAGTTCTAAACGCAAAGCATTTTTTTCTAATGTACAGCAAAAAGATTTTTTATGCCCTATTAAAAGGATTTGGTTTATTTGGTTAGTTCTTAGCCACATATTTTAAATAATGTGTCAAAACAAGCAAACTCTAGTAATATACCTTTTAAAGCTTATAAGTAAGTTTTAAAAACAATAATAAACTAAATTAATGCACAACAGGGGTCCCGTTTCAGAAAAGAGGTTAAGTGAAAACTAAGTATTTTAACCCTGAAATGAGAGAAACTCTGGGTTTCCTGCTTTAAAATGGCAGGTTTGTTACTCGAGAAAGCAGGGTAAGCCAAGCCTTTTGAAAGAGAGGTAACTTTAACTCAAAGTCAGTTACTGTGGTAACTTACTCTGTGAACCTAACCTGGTCAAGAGCAGGTTTTATTCTCTAAACTCTGAGTTTCTGTCGGTCTCCTTCCCTTTTTAAAGACGAAACGATTTCTAACCTTAGCCTTACATTTCCACCCATCTATTTTAATGTTCATTTTGGATATGCGCATAAAAACGATCAATGGAAACGTCATGATGCACATAACTTTTGAAAATACGCATAATAAAACATGTGCATAACTGAGTAGAATAAACTTTTATTCTATAGAAAAGATGCACCTAAACTACAATGGAAACACAGTTACTGAATAAACAAACCAGCAGGCATTGTAACACATCTGAAATGTTGTTTTGCTCATTCATTCTAAAACACCTTAACCATTTCAGTATTAATGTTATTATATTATTAATGACCTGCAGAGCATCTGGAGCGTGTTAAGAGTGTCTGTTCTCCACAGCTCATGGCTTCAAATGCCACCATGTGTTCATTGTGTGTCAGCATTGTCTTCTGAGGCACAAGTACATTTATTAAATAAAGAAAAGATTAACGCAGCTTCTTCTAAATCAGTAAATTCAGTTTAACTGTTGATATTTGCCGCCAGTTAATCAGGAAGTGACGATTTTGTTCGATTTGATTCGTTGGATGGAAACACTGCTTTATTTGCACATCTTTTATGCGTTATTCCAGTTTTGCACATAAATTTAATTAATATATTTGGATGGAAACATAGCTATTACCTGCATTTCAGTCACACAAAGAATAAAGTCACGTAGGAGAATGGCTTGTCCTTTTTTTAAAAAATAATTAGCTTAAATTCACTGACCTTCAACAGGGACATGTACTGTTACTAGATTAATGGGATTATTATTAGATGTTTTTGATAATGCAGTTGTTGTTGTGTCCATGGAGCCATCCAAGAACGAGAGTCTTTAAAAATGATGACGTCATGCATGTACACAACATGCGTTAATGATGCTGTTTTTCAGACTCCCTAAAGCACATAAACACAGTTAATATCTAAAAAAAATCTATGTTAGCCATTTAGCAACAAAGCTAGTGTCACGGGGCAGATAGAAGCCTTGACCATGACGCGAATCCACATCTATTGAGAAGGGAATTTCACACGAGAATAAAGTGAATTTGACCTGCGAATAAAGCGAGTAAACTCGAAATGTTAATGTGTCTATTTACGCATGAATATCGCAATATATTCACACATGCCGCATCTTTTGTGAAAAAAGCATAAGTGTTCTTGGTCATTTTCATAAATGTGTAAATGCAGAATGTTTTGAAAATGTCATTGTGTAAATGTGAAACATTTTTAAAAACGCAAAGAGAAAACCTTGTCCATTTTGGGGTACATTGTAGTCATGTAAACAGTCTAAAAAGATAATGGAATTATTTAAAATTCAAGATTATTTTTTCCTTTGGTAACTTGTGTTTTTATATTTGCTATTTGCCCCAAGCAATCATGTTTTTGTAATATCTAAATCTCTGACATGTAGGCTTCATACACCGTGTACCCTCTATCTTTTAAAACAGTGTCTTTTACCTGCTGCATTTTCTCGAGGTCTAGGCTGGGGCGACCAGGTTCTCCTGTGTAAATGGGCCGGTGCCGCCAGTAAGGCATGGAAGGTTGTTCAAAGTGGCTGAGAATGATGGGCCGGACAGGCAGGCGGGCTGGTGTGTAAGAAGGCTTAAGCCCTCGCGGAGGAGAGGAACTGAAGAGAACAGGGCTTGGAGAAGTGGCACTCAAGTTAGTCCCAGTCGCTGGTTCATTTGGCCCACACAGGTCCTTAACTTCCTCATCACTTGAAGCGCTACTCATGTCTCCATGTCGGTGCCACTTTCTGCCCCCTTCTGCCCCTATGGCCCCTGCGATGCGTTCCAGTTCTTCTTCTGAACTGTGGCGCTCTAGGGCAGGGTCCAGAAGTAAACGGAGACGGCGTAAGTGGGCAGGTGAAAGAATGCCCTGATTGTGCTGCTGGCTGGTGGCTAGAGGGGTCAAGGCACAGTTCCTTCGATGCTCTGTAGGAGGTAAAAGGTTGTGATTAAGAGAAAACAAATGGTCAGTAATTAATTTATTGTGCTATATAAAAATAATATGTGCTATATAAATAATAATCCCACTTTAAGTCAAATATCAAATTCCCTGCCTAAAAAATTTCATGACATCAAAAAAATGAAAAAATTAAAATAATAATAAAATAAAATAAATAAATAAATAATTCACTGATTTTAAATACTGTACAGTTAGGTAAAAAAATATTTGGACATTAACACAATTCTAACATTTTTGGCTCTATACACCAACACAATAGATTCGAAATTACATTTTTGTGCTTTATCTGCAGACTGTCAGCTTTAATTTAAGGGGATTTACATACAAATCAGGTGAACGGTGTAGGAATTACCACGGTTTGCGTATGTGCCTCCCACTTGTTAAGGGTCCAAAAGTAATTGAATAATTGGCTTCTTAGAATTGTGTCAATGTCCAAATATTTATGGACCTAACTGTTTGTGTTTTAAGTAATATAATATCAAAATGATTTTAGCTTGAATATAATTTTGCTTGGCTGGAAAGTGCTCTCCCCCCATTTTTGAAAGCTCAATAGTAGTTTTACAAACTTAAGCCCTGCTCACACTGAGGGATTTAAGGCACAATTTGGTTGTAGAAAAAATTAGAAATTCCTAATAAAATCCTGAAATCATAGGCTGAAATCTCTGATCTTTGATTTGGAATGTTCATAGAAAGCAACTTGATGGCCCCCACAACAGTAAGCTCCTGATTGGTTAACGTGGCGTGAAGGTTTGCTAAAGTTCAGATTTTTAAACTTTGCGCACCATTCGCACAATTTGTGCAGCGCCATTCGCGCCACGCCATCCGTGCTCCTTGCAAAAGCAACAATTGTTTAAGATTCGAAATTTTAAAAAATAACAGTAAATAAATAAATGAAAATCACACAGTGTGAGCCAAGCTTTAGAGTACTTTTTAACGGCCAGTCTTTGAACTGCTCATTTTTAAGACAAAGCTATTAAAATGTATATTGTTCTATGTTAGCTTTAATTAACAAGTATAGTCATATTTGGCAATAAGACTCGTGTCAATGAAGTCCATGACTGCCTAGGTTAACTTCCAGGGAAGAAACTGTCCTATGTAAAATGTAAAAAAATCTTGGTGTCATCTTCGACTCTGATGTTAAATTGAGCCGTCAAAAACAGATTTCCATTCCCTCATTTTACTTAGAGACTTGGAGAAGGTTGTTCACAATTTTGTGTCATCTTGTTTGGGCGAATGTAATGTGCTGTACCTGGGTGTGAATCAGCTCTCCCTGTCACATTTGCAACATGTTTAAACCTCTGCTGCCAGACATCTAACTGGCATAAAGGGGAGAGCGCATATTACTCCTGCTTTAATTAATCTGCATTGGCTTCCTGTACGCTACAGACTTCATTACAAAGCGATGTTTGTTTTATGGCGGTGCATGGACTATCACCAGACTGTAATTGATTTAATCATGATTCATCCAAATTCAGAAAACCAAAAATTTGGTTTATAAAGATTGTTTACTATTCTTTAAGCATTTTCAATTTAACTTAATAACTTGGATCATATTGACGTCAAAAACCACAAAATAACCACATTTTATTGATATTAAAGGAGTCAATAGGCATAATTTTACCAGCGTTGACATGACAGTAGTCATTTGGATTTAGTTTTTCCGGGGAGCATGTGTAGTTCATGTATTGATAAGTATCGGTTTAATGAACTGAATATTCACAGAGCCAAATATTGAGCAATTCCGAACTTTGACCATGGTGCACATGCTCCACTACTCTTGCAATTTTGTCGACGAAGCAACACACCACACTTCCTAGACGATATAAAATGAATGGGTTTCATAGCGCATCGGTTTTCACACCCACTGTGAAAGCTGTTTCACTCCATACAATGAGTAGACATACAGCTGGAGGGAGAGTAAAAACAAGAGTGTTGAATATTACAGCACAGCATAATATTCTTTTTGACTCATATTTTCCAAAAACATCAATTGGAAATGCCAATTCCGGTCTATAATTTTCGGCAGCCTAAAATTTGGTGCAACCTGACAGGTTTGATGTCTGCACAACAGATCTCAAAAATTAAGAAAGACAAACATGGTTGTACCCAGACTTGGTGCGATGTAGGGGCTTCCCAGCCTGGAAGCTGATGACAGATATTTCACTGAGAGGGATTGAAAGAAAGAAAGCAGTGCGAAGAATGGGGGAGGAAGCAGAGAGAGCCTCATGCTTGGTCTGGAGTAGGAGGGAGGAGTTAACTGGCAGTCAGGAGAAAGAGAGGGAATATTGGCTGGCCACCACTGCTGAGCCACCAACATGAGAGTGTTATGGTTAAGGGTCGAAAAACTTCGGGATTTTTGGTAACAATCAACTAGAACACCTAAAAGCCCATTTATGATTCAATTATTAGAAGCAAGTTATGTCAAGTATGTCATTTTTTGATTACTTCTATTGTTCTCCAAAAGATAAAATATAAATGTTAAACTAATTCAGAATTTGAAAAAATAGCATTTTTTAGTTCTAACTACCAAATAAAAGTTTTAAAAGTTTCAGCTATTTTAAAATGCAGGTCTGAGTCTGAAATTGAGATGTCTGACACCATAACCACAGCAACAACTGAGATAAAATACATATTACATACATTTAGTTATGCAGTGTTAATGCAATAGTGTTTGGTATGGAGAACCTAGATTTTTTTTTAAAGGGCCATGAAACCCCCCTTTCGATTCAAGTCTACTCCAGAAGAATTGTATTTATATATATATATATATATATATATATATATATATATATATATATATATATATATATATATATATATATATATATATATATATGAAAATTTTTTCTGTATAAAACATGGGATAAAAATATTAGTATCACTAATGGTGTTTTAATTTATTTCAGTTAACCTATTCTGTATTTACACTACAATGAACCAATTTTGTTCACTTTTAATTATTTGAAATGTAAATAAAACCAGTTCAACTTGTATACAAGATAAAATTAGCAAACTATACTTACACTTTTATACAAAAATAACAGTAAATTAAGTAAACATTTTTGATGTCTTATTTGAGTATTATTACTATTTTTATCAATAAGTTGTTAAAGCTTTGCATTAACTAACCAATATTAAATGGCAAAACACACTTACCTCTGTCAATCTGTGCCAGCTCCTGGTTTTCCCCTTCTGAATCCTCACTCTCCCACCCTTCCTCACTGCCATGGTAGGAAATCTGTTTTAAAGGCAAAGCAAAGGTCAGACAAACCTGAATCACCATGATGCAAAACAAGCATACTCAAGAGTGTCATGTCCAACTGCTAAAACAAACAAATGGAGAAAGTTATTTAAAGGGACATCCCACTTTCTTTTTTTTTTTTTTTTTGGAAAATAGGCTCATTTCACAAGTCCCCTAGCAAATAAACATGGGGGTTTAACCATTTTTGTAATCCATTCAGCTGAGTCTGGCAGAAGCATTTTTAGCTTAGCTTAGCATAGATCATTGACTCAGATTAGATTATTAGTATCTTGTTCAAAAACGAAAAAGAGTTTTGATAATTTTCCTTTTCAATGTAAAAGCTTGACTCTTCCACAGTTACAGGACCTATTTTCTCATTTTGGTGTAATATCATGGAACTTTGCTGCTTTACCATGACTGCAGCAGCACAATGATATTAAGCAGATTCTTACTGGTGGTGCAAGTGTAGATCTTGGTGCTGGAGACTATTTTCAGGCGCTGCATAATATAATTGCACCTGCTGCAACTATGGTATGGTGACAAAGTTCCTTGACTATTGTTTCAAGACTTATTTTGACCATTAAGAGAGGTGCTAATCATCTAATCTGATTCAATGATTTATGCTAAGCTAAAAGTGCTCACAGCCAGACTCAAAACCCAAAAAGTGTAGTGTTCCTTTAATGTATTTGTATTTCAGTTCATCTTCAGAGTCTGAATCTTTCTTTGTTTTGTTTGAGCCTTTCTTCACATTGTTTGAGTAAAGATCCAAAAGTGTAAAATAAAAAAAATAAAGCATGAACTTAAGAGAAGTAAAACAAGACAGGTCAAAATGCTAAGGCTTTGCTTAGTCTCAGTGAAAAAGGTTCATTTAGACAGGATTATCAAGAGCAAAACTGATAAGAAATAGAAAATGGAACCCAGAGAAAACCCAACAGATTGCACCAGTATAGAGTTAAGTACGGTAATTACCTTGTCCAAGCTCAACTAACCAGCTGCCATCTGTTCTCAAGTACACACACACACACACACACACACACACACACACACACACACACACCCCACTTCTCTTCTCATCTCTTTTGCCTTTCACCGAGCAAAAAGTGAGAAGAACTGAATGATTCAAATGTGTCACTCTTTCTCACATGTACTTGAATCTCACGGCAACCCCCAGAAGAGCCATTTCCACTCACTGAAATCCGGTCTCGGTCTCAAATCTCAAAGCCACCACAAACTATCCTTGCACACCACCAAAACCCTTGCTAAAAAATGTCCCGTAGCCGCTGGCAGTTATGATTAAGCATTCTGATGTATTTAAAAAACATAACACATAACTTTCTGTGAAGTCACCACACTAAACAATAAGGGTGTAGCAATCATTTTCACTCAGAGATTACTCACAAATTTCACAAACACTTACAAAGAACAGCCAGGTAACACACTGAACTGCAAATGTGTACATAAAGGAGTGATTTACTACATGATGAGTATTTAATAAAACTTGGCAGTCTATGTGAAACATAAAAAAAATATTAAATCAACATGAAAAATGATTAAAAGGGGCTGTGGAATTTACTTTTGCCAATTTATTTTTTAACACTTTTCAATAACAATGAAACATGTTCCTAATTAGCATTTAGTTTAGGTAGCATTTAGTAACATGTTCCATATTTAGCATTTAGTTGGGATCTCCAGCTACACAGCATGGTAGACTGCAAGGACTTTTGTGTTGTCATAAAATAGCTGAACCAAAGGTATAAACTTTCCCTCAAGTATTTTTATTACTAACTAAAGGTGCCAATTGTTAACAATATTTCTGTAAAAAAACAAGTATAGTTAAGTAATGTCAACTTCATCTGTATAATTTGTATATTCAAAAGAGAGTTTCAAACAGAATCATTGAATCTGTTGGCTTCATCGAACATGGACCTTCAGCATGCACTGGGGTGGTTTGCTGCCTAGTGTGATGTGGCTGGGATGAAAATCAGCATCTCCAAGTCCGAGGCCATAGTGCTCCACCGGAAAAAGGTGGTTTGCCATCTCCAGGTTGGAGGAAAGTCCTTACCCTAGGTGGGGGAGGTTAAGTATCTTGGGGTATTGTTCACGAGTGAGAGAAAGATGGAATGTGGGATTGACTGGCAGATTGGTGCAGCAGTAATGCAGTTAATGTACGGGCCCATTGTGGTAAAGAAGGAGCCAAAAGGCAAAGCTCTCGATTGACCAGTCAATTTACGTTCCTACTCTCACCTATGGTCATGAGCTTTGGGTCATGACCGAAAGAACAAAATCTTAGATACAAGCAGCTGAAATGAGTTTTCTTCTCCACTTCGAGAGAAGTCAGCTGAGGTGGCTCGGGCATCTGTTTCGGATGCCTCCTGGACGCTTACCTAAGGAGGTGTTTCAAGCATGTCCCACAGGGAGGAGGCCTTGATGAGCTTTGGGTTTTTTCACGAGTGAGGGAAAGATGAAACGTGAGATTGACAGGCAGATTGGTGCACCATTGGTGAACCCATTGACTATGTCTCTCGGCTGGCCTGGGAACAACTCACGATCCCCCCAGAGGAGCTGGAGGGTGTGTCTTGGGAGAGAAAAGTTTGGAGTTCTCTGCTAAGACTGCTGCCTTCACGACCCGGCCCCAGATAAGCGGATGAAAATGACATGACAGGACATAACATGAGAATCATTGAGACAAACTTGAGGTAAATCCAAATAGTGCTACACACGTTATTCAGCTCAATTCATTTAATTCCTAAAAGTTGTTTAAGTGTTCAACAATGTCTTTTAGACCCCAGTCATGCAAGCCAAAAAAGCAACAGAATTGGAGAAGACAGAAAAACCCCAGGAGAAACCAGGTTCGGTCAGATGACTAGGTCTTATGTAGGCTACATCAATTGAATCTACAGTTTAAGTGCCTCAATCATGATGTCTTTTTTTATTACATACAGATAAATTGTACTTTTAACTTAAAGCTATTGAAAAATGTGCTTTTTTTTTTCCTTTTTTCTATAATAAATTACTTGGAATGGGTTTTCAACCCGCAATCAAACTATTACCGTCATGTAGGACTTTTCACCACATTTTGTGACAAGATCCACACATGTGGGTGCGGCTGTCAGTAAAGGACACACACACACACACACACACACACACACACACACACACACACACACACACACACACACACACACACACACACACACACACACACACACACACACACACACACACACACACACACACACACACACACACACACACACACACACACACACACACACACACATCAAGAAATGCGGAGTGTTTTTTTTCCATTTGGCTTTTCATTAATAAAAAAATCTTCCACCAGTCCTTACTTTATATTCGCATCTAATACCACAGATCCCAACAAGGAGTGAATGTTCATGAGTGAAAGTGAAACTTGAAACGAACTGCAGTAAAGTCGAAAATTACATGAGCCTCTGCAGTGCAGGAAATGTGAGTAGCCTGGTGACACAACATTCAAAAACATTACATTTCACAATACATTTCACGTAACAACTTAATTATATTATTGTCTTATTAAGTCAAACAACTGATGTCCATGTAAACATAGTCAGTGTCTTTAAAGTGAGTGAAAGATCCAGAAGGGCATCCTGCTGATTTGATTCAGAAGGGCAATTATGTCAGACAGCTCACCCGTTTGACTTTCATTTATTCACCGTCAGTCATTTTAAAAAGCACCTGCTCCATTTTATTTGTGTATATTTTACTGAAACGCATTAACTCTACAGGTGTCTAATAGTACGCTGTGCGGCTGACGTTAATCATATTCCCTCTAGTAAACACATAAAAATAGTCATCATAATTTTCTCGAGTGCACGCCTCAATGTCTCGCGCCCCATTTAATAGGTGCTGGCGCTCCCCCTGGTAGGGCACGCCCCACAGTTTGAAAACCCCTAACCTTGAAGACAAAACGCAATTCACTGCCTCATTTACATTAACCACACCACAGGATGTCTATTGCATCTTCGCGTAAACTGAACATGTAAATCCCTCACGCATAACCCTTTATTAGCGTCTGACATGATCATACTATTAGGCTGCATTAATTAGGGCAACGGAAACTAGGAACACTTAAAGGGCCATGAAACCCCCTTGTTTCAGCAGGGTGTTTTCACACCTCTACTTTGGAAAAAGACAGAAAAGTGGGCGTGTCCAGCTCTGTTTAGGGGGGAGTGTCGGAGGAACTAAAGTGGGATGGTGTGGGAGTGTCTATTTGGGCACGCGCGAGTTTCAGAGTCAAAACACATCCACACAAACACACACACGGGAGAAAGTGACTGTGTTTACAGGGACATCTGTAGTCGAATTATTTGCCAAATTATTAAATGGTGGACTTTAACTGCAGTTTGGCTCTTTCAATTAGGGAATTCATTCATGCCCCTCACAACAAGCGAGATATTTGATTCGAGGAGCTGCTCTAAGCGTGTATTTTTCCATGCAATGTTTGATACCGCACGGCGAATGAGAGAAAAAAACCCTCAGCATTTCCCGGAAAATTACATGCACACAGCAGGTAGTGTCAGAAAGCGGCGTGTGTTATTCCGGTCACAAAATGCGACGAAAATCCTACACGAGGTTAAAGTTTGGTTGTGGTGCTAACATGTTTACACTTGGTGCAATAGTTAACTTAGTTCAATACGAACAAACTGAATAAACAGAGCACTGGTCGCTCACTTACCAAATCTGTAGAGATAGGACAATCACCAGAAACTAGAGCCTTATTAAGAGGAGACTAAAGCAAATCTGGATCTCAGCGTTTGCAGATGAGAACAGCTCTCAGGTAAACAATAATCCTCCTTAGACACGTAAGTTATTGTTGTCGAGCGTCGCGTACACTGTTAATCCACACGTGATCCAGATGAGCTCTCACAGAGAGAAAATGAAAACAAAACTTAACTGCAGCAAACTATAAAAGCAACACTTCATGCTTCTTTTGCCAATACAACGTGGCGTCTCTG